CCAGTCTGTTCAAATGACCTTACTTGTTGCTAATTTTTACTAGTATCTGAATTAAATTATTCACTGAATTAATGCTGTGTTGTAAAGGACACTATATCCAACTTATCATGTTAATAATACTTGAAGCTACAGTACAGTGATGGACAGGATGATTAAAAAAAAAGACCACTGCTCGTTCATGTCCATGACCTAACTTTTCAAGATAAATTATTCTTACTTCAAAATTCGTAGGTACCATTACAACATAATGAACCTGAATATCTGTGCTGTGCTTCTCATGTCTTGTGTACAAGGTGATTACTTCTCTCTGATAATGTTACAGCATAAACCCTGTTTTCTGTACTGCAGCTATTAACTTTGTTTGGAATTTTATCCACCAACTGGAGTATGCATTGTGAGGACAAAATAGGGTTGGTTTATCAAGACCAATTCAGTTACTTGGAATCTTCAACCATATTTTGACACTCTTTCGAGTAACAGCTGATTACAGCTTTGGAATCAGTTAAGCATCAGATTCTCATGTGTTGGTATTGGCTAATGAAGCACAATACTTTCCAAAACAATCTAAAAATCAGAAGTTGTAGGTAACTTCCAGTGAAAAAAAAAACACCAAAGACATTTGGAAGGTGAAAATCTCAACACAATTCCATTCCAGTGAAAATATCATGTGAAGTAGAACACATTGTCCTATATAATGGCTTGTACAGATAATATTTCTAGTATTAATACTGTAAAATGAAACTTGTTTATCTTTGCAGCATCTGATGATCACCGCTCGGAAGTTCACAGTTCAAATTGAGGAGAAATTGCTTCTGAAGCTGCTGAATTTCTTTGGCTATGCTCAGTCTGAATCAGGTATAGTATAAAATTACAAAGACAGGTTTTACAGTATGCATAGGTATGATCTTTGCATGTAAAGTAAGTTCAAAATGTCTGGCAAACTCTTAACTGCTGGAAAACATCCACTGAACAGAAAGTTTGGAAGTTAATGTCTCAGTGGACCTCACAAAGCTGATTACGTGTATCGTGCTTGTTACAGCACTCAGGCAGTGACGCATGTGGCATTGTCCAATATGCAGTGGCTGAGCCATACCTCTGTGGGAAGGAGTTCAATATTTGTCATAAGCTCATGTATCTAAATAGGTAAAGAGGTGTTTTGTTTGTTTGTTTGTTTGTTTTATAAAAAAAAAAAAAAGTGTTATTAATTTAGCAAGCCACTTAGTAAACTAAGTTTAAATAAACCCTAGGCTAGAAATCAGATATCTGTTCATTTTTTCCTTGGGCAGTCCCTCATTCTCAGCTGAAGGAAGATTTTGGCTGTCTGACCCTACAGTTCTGATATCTATTACTCCTAGCTATAATTATAAAAACAAGTTTTGTTTTCATTCAGTGAAGCAAGATGGGGCTCTTGAATCTTCTCAGCTCATAGATGTTATTTTAATCTTTCTATTGCAGGGCTTGTGTGTTCTTTGGAAACTTCTGAAATGTCTGTTTTGGAGTGGCAATTTAAAGAGTCACTTTTATTACACAGTAAGGGTGTGTAGGAATATATAGTAAAATAACTTGAAGGAAAAAAAAAAACAGTTGAGGTATATTTCCATATGTGGGCAAGCCTACAAATGATGCTCAGGAGTGTAATGTCTTGCTAATCCATAGTCTGTTCTTAATTGTCTCTAAAAAAGACAAGTATTACCTTTCCCAGTTTCAAAGACAGAGGATTTAAAGACTTAAGCTTTGTAGTGATGAAGAAAATAAAGGTTCTGAATTTCACTCTGTTTACTAGTCTCTCCTTTGGTTCAGTTTATGATACCTTTGCTTTCTTGTTTTTTATTTCCTTACTTACTGTACATGCTTGGTAGTTTATCCACTGATGCTGATGATGCCATCCAAGATTCAAACAAAATCTATTTTGTCATTTTCATTCAACATACTTAATTGTTCAACCTGAGTTCTTAAAATTTTGTCATCTTTCTTCGTTCTCCTTGATGCCTGAACACCAAGATGCTCTCAGAAATAGTGTACAAACCTGTTGGTCACTGTCAGCCAAATTTGACTCAGTATATAAATCAATTTATTGAGTGTCTTCTGCATAGATATTTTTTCCATTTGGTAGTGATGATGAAAAACATCAAATTCTATTGTTTTGTAAGTATATTGTTAGCAGGTCATATAAGGAAATGTAGAGAGAGGAAAAGGTAAGATTGTGACTACTCAGTAGGAAGGAAACATTTCATAGTTACGTTTGTATCACCTTGCTTTTATGTGATGACATATATTTGAAGCAAGATTAGAAGCTTAACTCAGTCTATGCATTTGGATAACTTATTTTTGTCTAACTACAAATAAATTCAGGTTTTAAAAATGCAGGCAGATCTGAAAAAAAAATCTTGAGCCTAAAGGGTCAACTTCATGTCATAAGGCATGAATAATTTTGCTGGCTACACTAGCAATTGCACATACTTTTTATTTGTACAGAGAAATTGTAACTCCTTATGGAGTATGCATTCATAACTACATACATATTTAATCTATTCTGATTCCTGTGTTTCCTCTGGATGTAGAGGTTGAAAACTATGATGAAAACCTCCATGAAAAGGTTGCTGAAAATACTGGAGTACAAAAGCGATACTACTTTGAAAATCTCAAAATAACCGTGCCTCAAATAAAGTTGAGTGTCTTCACTTCTAATAAGCTACCTTTGGAACTCAAGGTAAGACAATGTATTTACAGAATATGCTTCCAAATAAAGGTTCTATCACAGAAGGAGAAAGAAGCAGAAGCTTCTACTTACTGCTATTAATAGTCATGTATTCTTCCATTATTTAATTTCAGTAAATTTCACTAATTTGCATAATTTCCAGTCTCGTCTGTAATATTCCTTGATTTCTGTTATTTCCATTTAAGCACAGCCAATTTCACCTAATAACTTGCTACCTTACAGAGGACTTCAGTTACATTAATAGTAGTGTAAAGAGTCTTGAAGTGAATGAATGACATATGGGGTGGCTAAGGGTGGAGAAAGATAAGTTACTGAACTTAGGGAACAAGAAAAAAAATGCTTTGTGCATTTTGTGGTGACTTAGTGTGCTGCCTTTCTATGGAGGGACTGAACTGCTGCCTTTTCAAAGCTGCATTTTCATAGAAATTTTGAACACTGACCAGGCCTTTTTTGTGCGCTTGAAATAAAGGACATTAATATGTGGATGCTTTTAAAGAAGTTCAGTGTTGTGAAGTAAGTGTGTATCACAGAGTCTGACCAAGCTAACCCAGAACAACATCAGTCCTGCACTCTTGTATTGCTTTTGCCAAATCCGTGTGCAAAGGAGGACAATTTGATAACAAGCTCTAATATTCCATACCAGCCAGTGGCTTGAAAGTGTGAGATCTTGTATTTCAGTATCACCATAAAAATGCTTGTCAACCAATTATCTCTGAATTTGAGAGTGAAAATGGTGTTAGTGGTGAGTGCCTTTAAGAAACTAGTAATGTGCACTGGTTTTTGGATTTCTTACCACCTTTGGAAAAAGGTCCAATCTTGGCAGCTGCTGGGAATGTTCCCAAGAGAAAACTTGGCGTATACATTTTTTTGTAATAATAACAGTCACTGACTGTATTCTGTATATTAACTTTCGCAGAAGGAGTTCATTCAGTTTTGTAGCATGGGTGAGTTCAGGGTAGAAGTGAGAGAATAATCACAGTAGAGCCTTTGTAGTCTCTCTAACAACCTCTAATGTTTCTGAAAGGCTTGGACATTGCTGTCTGGTAATGTGGGGTAGACAGATTATTTTTATTAGGTACCACTATTAACAAAGTTGCCTTATATAATATCTGATAGTTAAACAGGAAATTACTTCCTACCAAAGTGAATAATGAGGGCTACTCTAGTTAGTCGTCCATTTACTGGAAAAATAAATAGGTCCTTTCTTACTTGCAAACTGAAGTCAGACATGTAATTTACATTAATTGCCTGCAGATGGCAGAAAAACTCATACTACTTACTACCAAGCATGATTTAGTGATTAATGTAGAAACATATAACAATATCAGGCTTCTTGCCATCTTCAGATTTTCTGATGTTGGCACTGTGCATGTTGTTATCAAGAACTGAAATGATCTAGAAGAGAATAGTTCATTTGGGGCCTTCAGAGATCGAGTCCAACTGCCTGACTTCTTCAGGGCTACAGCACATCAGTGAGGGAGTTGTCCAAATGCCTCTTGAACGCTGACTGGCACGGGGCATCAGCCACCTCTCTAGGGAGCCTGTTCCAGTGTTTGGCCACCCTCACGGTAACAGAATTCTCCCTAACACCCAGCCTGACCTTCCCCTGGCACAGCTCTGGGTCATTGGAGCAGAGAGTGGCGACTCCCTCAGTGCTTCCCCTGCTCAGAGCACTGCAAAGAGCAACCAGGTCACCTCCTGGCCTCCTTTTCTCCAAACCAGACAACCCAAGTGTCCTCAGCCTCTCCTTATAAGATGTGCCCTCCAGCCCTTTTACCAGCTTTGTTGCCCCAAAATGCAGTTTGCTGCTAATGGACCTTTAGAGCAGTAACAACAAAATGCTAAACATGGAATCTTAAACGCATTTTGTTTTGAAATACAAACTTCAAGTTTAGGAAACAGATTGCATCAGGAGGGGTGTTTAGTTCCTGTCTAATTACTGAACAAATGTAAGTCTAATAATTTGATCATCGTTTACAAGTAAAAGGTTTATGGAGTGATTGCCCTCTACCTCTATCAAAGCATCCACTATTCCAGCAGCTTCAGATAAGCTATTGGCTTGTTATATACCTATTTAATTCATTTGGATTCTCTGAATGAGAAGTAGAAAAAAAAACTAAGTAGCGATATTTTTTATTTAATTAGGCATTGAAGAGCTCACTGGGATTTCCTCTAATCAGATTTGAAGATGCTGTGATTAATCTGGATCCTTTCACTAGGGTCCATCCATATGAAACTCGGGAGTTTATCATTAATGACATTCTGAAACACTTTCAAGAGGTAAGTGTCATACAGATTTTATTAGAGGAAAGGCTAAATTTCTCTTGATTGAGTTCTGTAGTGAGGATGGGGATGAAATTCTTCCTTGATGATCAGGTATTTACTGTATACCCCCCCCCCTCTTTTTTTTTTTTTTTTATTATAGCGAGATAGCATCACACATTTCTAAAATTCACTGCACTTTAAGATGAAACTGTTGATTGTACTGGTGCTCATGTATTGTTTTATAGTATCTCTTCATTTTTAATCAATCTTGCTGGTGTTAACGTGATCCGGAGGTGGTATTTCAACCTTTCTATTGATTTTACAGGAGCTGATCAGTCAGGCAGCAAGGATTCTAGGTTCTGTGGATTTCCTTGGCAACCCGATGGGTCTACTGAGTGATGTTTCAGAAGGTGTTGCTGGACTTCTAAAATATGGCAATGTTGGTGGTCTCATCAGAAATGTCACACATGGAGTATCAAATTCAGCTGCAAAGGTAATAATTATGATGTTAAAGTTTACTAAAACAGTAAGTTAAAATAGGAAATAGAAAATAATTATTTACCATCTTTAAATAGAATGCTTTTCCTGTTTGTTTGGTAAAAATAGCATTTGAAATGTAGATTTATTTATTTTAAATGCTTATACATATACTTCAGGGATGCTGATAAACCTGCAGGAGGTGGTGAAACAACTCAATGCCTTAGTATTCATGTACATACATTCAGATTGAATGCAGTTGTGAGCAGAGTTTTAGTTCTGTGGTTCAAGTGTGGCATCATCTCATTGAAACCAGAGCTCTACATGAATTTGAGCATTTAAAGGTTTATTTAGTATAACACAAGTTGTTAATTTATTTTGGGAAACTGATTAAGCTGACACAAATATGAATTGTTATGCAAACACTTGAGTTAATTTTGTTTTCTCTATGCAATATAGCAACAAACTAAAGGATTCTTAGATTGCTATGCATTTATATTTAGCTTAATTGCAGAATCTGTGCATGGTGGACATTCTTTCGTCCTTCAATAATGATTGAGAGAACACTATTATATCAGGGCTCTTAGTTGAAAATAATGGTCTTTGCTGCCTAAGAGAGGTATGATCTAAACACAGCAGCCAAAAATAGAAAGTGGTTTAGATCATAGTCTATATTGTGCTTGATACTGAATGAATGTATGTTGGCTTTAAAGGAAAAAAATCTTGAGATATTTCTCATCAATTACGTGATTTGTCAACACATACTGTAAGTGAACTTTATGATTGTGGGTAGTAATAGTGTTTTCTTTTCATGAGGGCTTGTTATTAGAAGTAGTTTACATGGTGCTCTAGTTCCTAAATGTAGGAGGTTTATGTGCATGGAGAATTATGGTATCAGGAGGGAGATGTGGCAAAGATGACCTAAACTGAATTTGGTCAGTAAGGATTAAAAGTACTGTCTGTAACAGCAGGATCATTTAGCAATATAACACTGTCTAGTTAATTTTGAGTTTGTATATTTGCAAGCAGGTGGCATTTAAGCATATAGTGGTTAATACAGCCAAGTGAAACAACAACAGTCAAAATCTGCCTTTCTCAGAAATGGCTGTCACACAATATACGGCAGTCACTCACAGAAAACTGAATGTTTTCCAGAGGTGTTCTGTAGTCTGAATAATGGAAAAAAGAGACATTGGTGATGATGCAGAATAGGAGATGATGAAATGATTTAGTAATAACTGAAAAATAGAAAAAAGTTCTCAGTGTCACCCTGGTGCATTTGAGGGTGTGTGTGTGTCTTTTTGTTTGTGCAGTCTAGTTTTCCTGATAACATTGTAAATATGTGAAAATATTTTAATGCAGTTTATAAGCTTATATTCAAGAAATTGGGGGAAAAGAAGTAAAACATCCTTCCAAAATTATCCTCGTGCTTTCACCTAAAAAAATACAGCATGTAGGTAACTAGTAAGACAGAATTTTTCTTTCTCCCATTACCCAAAGAATGATGAGAATAGTCAAGAGTAAACATTGAATGGATGAAATTTGATTGTATTCCGGGGTATAAATAAAGCCTGTTCATAGTAATGAAGCTACTCCTCCAGTACGTGAATTTAACTTGGAACCAAAACTTTAAAGCATTCTAGAGCTGTGAAATGTGGTAACTTTAAGATATATGCCAGTTTCACTTTTCACTTAATGTTTACCACTTTATTTCCAAGTTAGGATAACAACTTGGTAGGACTATATGTGAGTTTCTTCGTGAAGTATGTATTTACTGACAGATATGTTACGGGAAAGTGAAAATTCTTTCCTATTATTTTCCTTTTCCTGACTGGTAAGTGCGTTAATGTTGGTTCACCCTTTCACAGCCTATTCTATTTCTTTGTATACATGAAAATCTACCTTTTTCCCTGTAGTAGTGGGAAAAGGTAATTCAGAAAATGAGAAAGGTGAGATGTAGAATTTACATAACTACAGATAACTCAGAACTAATATTATCAGACCTAGTTAAATTGCCATGGAGATCCTCAGTCCATCACCAAGTGCATCACTGTGAGCACATCTAACCCAGACAGTTGAACTATGAGGCAAGATGGCATATACATTCTGCAATACAATTGTTTTATTCCCAGATTAGCCCATTAGGACCTTTGCAAAGATTTATAATGAAATAACATGTTGCTGATATTCCTGTCTTAATCCTGCCTTAATCTCTTTTTGAGATTCACTACAGAACATTTTAAATGCGTAGTTAAGAGGTGCTAAAGCATCATGCTGTTTTCTTAGTATCAGCACTGCAAATACAGGTTCATCCAAGCAGTCGGGTAGCATACTTACTGAGCTTCTGGAATGCAGTATCCATCTGCACAAACGAGTGCTTTTGTCCATACTTTCTACTCGTAGTTCTAGTCTCTTGTGGCCCATCCACTCCACCCAATAGAGTATGTTTCTTTAGAGTTTCCTTTCTATAAAGTGTTGTTTCCTCATTGCAATCACATCTGTAGCAACAGACTCATAAATCTTTCTTTAAAAGGCACGAGCCTTCCTACATTTCCCACAAGGGCAAGGTCATTCTTTGAACTTTGGAGTCATTTGTAACCAAGGGTTTTGTGAAGGAAGACTTTCAAAGGCAGAAGGGCAGTTGGATGCTGAACTCCTCTCAAAATTCAACAGGAGCTGAATGTCTGCTTCCCGTTTATACCTTTGAAAATCACCCCATGGACTATTTATCTGTCTTCCCAGGTATTATTTTTTCTCCTTGATATATCCAAAATGTCTGAGGTGCGAGTCTCACACAGTTGCCTTTTAAAAATCCTTTTATATCAATTATATATCTGTCCTCTCAGAACAAGTGAATTCTATCCCTTAGGAAGGCTTAACAGCACATTATGGGAGCTCATGGATTACTCTTCCAAATACTCTGCTACACTGAAGATTATCATAAAGAAGTCTCAAATAACAAGGATTAATTTGTTTGTATGTTTTGCACTGCACTTAGTTTTCTAGCAGATTTAGATGCCTAAACCAAGAGTCTCCATATGATACGAAGTTGACATTTCAGGTACACTTTGTGACATGCTATGTCCGTGGTATGTTGTAGAACTTGACTTTCTGCTCAACCACATATATGCCTTACACTTGTTAAGTTTTGGTAAAGAACAAAATGGAGGAGAGGGGTGTATAATTCCAGTTACTCAAGAAAAACGTAACTGAAAAAATAGATTTTCATCTTGCTCCCTTGTTGCTTTCTGTAGGGAAAGCACTATTAAGTATCCTAGAGGTCCTCATCTATTGCACCTTATTCTGCAGAGCTGGTAACTGAAGTAGTCAAAACTAGATAAGCCTCTGTTCTGCGTATAAATTGATGGCTGGAAAAAAAATCATTTTTGGTTGTTTTGTGTGCCTGACTTTCAAGTGTCTTAAACAAAAGTCTACACAAGAGTTTAAGATGAGTTAGATTTAAGGTGTGAATGGATAGATAGATAAATAAACTTAAAGACTGTAATCATCACGTTAAATCTAACACTGCATGACTGAATTGAAAAGTAAGCTATTTGAGTTGTATCTGGTTTTGTCATTTTATTGCTTTTCTATTTTATAGTTCTGTTGATTATTCCTGTAATGGCTTTTCCATGCATTTCAGAACATGCAGTGGGTAATGCCTTCTTTCAAGTGGATAGCTGCAGCATATTTAAGTTGGCACAAAACCTTAGGTTAAATAAAGTTCACTATGGAGAGTTTTGTAGTTTTTATCCCTTGGAGACTCAAAGTTCTGTATTTTAAAAAGTTCTTTGATCCTAAATATAGACACCTGAGGGAATTTCATTCCCTCTGAATGAAGATTTCTATAGTTGCCATATGCGTAGAAATGTCTTGAATTCTTGGCATTCGCCCTTTATTTCCCCCTTTAGGCATGATAGCTCTAAATCCTAAGTTATTCCTGTTTCAGAGGTGTTTCAATTAGAATTGAATATTGAGCACTGAGTTACTGTCTGAAGAAAAATGTTCCATAGCTTATATACTCTGAATGGAAAATTAAGCGTGGCTGAACCTATTGCTGGCAAATAGGTGTTGCGCTGACATAAGAAAATTCCCGGTTGTAAAAGGTTTGAAAAATAAATCAGCTTCTCAATACTATATTTTATATGTCTGATCCGTTCGACCCGTATTAGGAATTCTGTTATCTTTGGTGAGTTATGAGCACATAGTAATGTAGTTGTTACGGCTCTGCAGCTAGGCTTGGTTTCTATGGTACAAATATTGGATGGAAATGATCCCTTCCCCCCAAAAAAATAACTTATTGACATTTTTTATGCACAGAAAAATAGCGTAGAACTTTCTCAGTATTTCAGTGCTTTTGTTTTGCTCCACCTTGTTCTGACTTTGCAGTATTCCCATTCTTCACATTCCAAATAGGTCACTTGAAATAAGCTTTTTGTTGGTTTTGAACAGACAGGAGCTAGTTTATATGTCCCTTTCCTTGAGTTAAAGGAGAGATTGCAATCTAGTTGCCAGGGATAGGAAGGCTGTAGGCTTTATGTTCACCCAACCAAAGCCAAGCATTGTCTTGCTTGTAGGTAAGATAGTGACAGAATTTTATTTCTCAAGAAAAAAACAAACAAACAAACAAACAAAAAAAACCTCAAGGTTTCTGTATTCCTAGAAGTGATTTATATGGTTCAGGTTAAAAGTAGTTTTACCTATGTTTTCTGACTGCCTCCCTGTCTGTCTTTGCTGTCTTTTTTTGTCATGATTCGTTTTTGATTAAGATTTTTCTCCTCATATCTTCCCCAATATTGCCTAGGGGCTGGTTTCAGCTTGTTCAGGTAATGCATCCAGGTGGCACTGCAGATCATCTTCAGTTGAGTTTGCATTTCATTCTAAGACTAGCAGCACATGTGCAAGATCAAGTGCTGAGCAGTGAAAAACAGTATGAAAACATGAAGATTATGAGAAACCGTGATGAAAAGTAATTGAAATTTTCAGGTAGAAATTTTCAGTGCTAGGG